TGTATAATATCATCACTCTTCATATAGTAACCTCTTCCTGAGTTTATTGTTTCCTTGGTCTGTTTTGCATAAATATAGTACACTGTCTCAATTTTTATAACTTTCCAGTAAATCTGGATATCTGATGACAAAAGTCTTCACTACTCTCCAAAATTTTCATAGCTTTGAAATTTTCATGGCTTTCAAAGCATCAAAACAAAACAAAACAAAAGACTAAGTGTCAGATTCCAAAAAGTTCCTCTTAGACCTGATTGAAAAAGCACTGAATTTACAGAGTAATACGGGCAGAGCTGTCATTTTTACGATGTTGTCAGTATTCCCACATGTAAATATGTTCTATTTTACCATTTATTACCTCTCTAAAAAATTTTATTTATTTATTTATTTTTAGAGAGAGGGGGAGAGAGGGAGGGAAACATTGATACTCAAGAGAAACATCAATTTGTTGACTCTTGTATGTGCCCCAACCAAGGAACGAACCTGCAACCCAGGCATGTGCCCGAACCAGGAACTGAACTGGTGACCTTTTAGTGTGCAGGACAACGCCCAACCCACTGGGTTACACATGTCAAGGCAGCTTCAAAAAAAAAAAAAGATTAAAAAAATGTTTATAATTTTTCCCTTCAGTTTCCCTTTGAGGCTGAATCCTAGGTACCTTATCTTTGTTACTCCTGTAAAATTTTTATTAAAGCTATATTTTCAACATCTTGACATTTTCTTTGTCTTGTTATTCCCTTCTTGCCTTCTAAATAATCTGAATTTTCTTTATTCTTTCCCCATCTTCTCCTCATACTTTGGAAAAGTTTGAGAGCTATACACAATTTTCACATACACATCTGATCTAAAGTTGTATGTTAATTAACATTACTATCTTCTCCCCTAATAATACAAGAATCTTATAAAAATCTATTCCACTTCTCATGTGTTTTAGTCCATGTTTCAGTTCTCAAGAAACCACATTGACCATTATTATTGTTGTTTTATACAGTGAATGCTTCTTACACTTATCTCTTTTAAACTTTTCTATTATGAAGCATGGCATGGGGAAAATTCACAAAACGTGAATGTACCCTTCATTGAATTGTCACAAAATGAGCACCCACATAAGTATAACAAGAGCCCTCCACCATTTCCCATAGGAAAGATAGTCCGACTTTTATGGTAGTCATTTCTCAGTTTCCTTTATACTTTTACTACCTAAGCACGCATTGCTAAACACTACTTTGAACTGTATATAAATGGAATCATCCAGGAAGTATTCCTTCTTGTCTAGTTTCTTTTGTTCAACATTTATTTGTGAGATTGAAAACTGTGTACAGCCATCTTCTGTTTATTTTTATTCCTGTGTAATACTTCTATTGTGTATATATAGGACAATTTACCCACTTACTGGACATAAAATTCTAAGTTGACAGTTTATTCTCTTTTAGCTCCTTAAAAATGGCATTCAACTGACTTCTGGTTTCCGTCATTTCTGTTGAGCAGATAGCCACCAGCTAATTGTTGCTTATTTGAAGGTAATCTTTCTTTATTATCTACTTGCTTTTAAGGATTTTCTGTTTTTGTTTTGTTTTGTTTTCAGAAGTTTACTGATGATTAACTACAGATGTAAACTTCTTTGGTATTTCTCTTGCTTGAAGTCCATATCACTTCTGGAATATATGGACTGATTTTCTTCATCAGTTTCAGAAAGTCCTAAACCACTTTCTCTTTCAATACTGCTCTGCTCCATTGTCTTTCTCCTAACTTTCTGGAACTTTAAAGACTTCTCATGGTGTTTTCTATCTTTCTTCATTTCTCTCATTCTTTGTCTCTGGTTATTCTTGCCTAATGTCTTTCAGTGCACTAATTCTCTCTTCAGGTGTGTCTAATCTATTTAAACCCATCTACTTGAGTTAATTTCATTTCAGTTACTAAATTTCTCGTTCTCATAATTTCCATTTGGCTTTTTTTAGTTTCCAGCGCTCTGCCAAAATTCTCAATCTTGTTTCTCTTTGAATGTGATAAGAATAGTTATTTTAAAAGTCTTTATTTGAGAATTCCAATATCCAGAGGCCTGATTTGTATCATCTTTTGTTTCTTTTTCTTGTTGTGTCTGACTGCTTTTAATTATACACCAGACATTTCATTTCACTTGCAAACTACAGAAATAATTTGAGGCCTTGCATGATATTACTTTCTTCCAGGAAGTATCTACAACTCTGCCAGATGCCTGGGGACATTAGTGACTTAGGAAGCCTCAATCTAACTTTCGAAGCTTACCTATAGCCTCTTTGACAGCATGTCTATTCCTAGTTAACCCTCGCTCCTCAGGTGTAGCCCTTCAGGGTCCCAACTCAAAATGAGGCATGCTCATCGGGGGTTCCCTTTTTGTGGGCCAAGGCCTCTAGCCTCCACCCCTGCTACTCCCCCTGGCCTATCGAAAGGGCAGCATGGCTGACCAGCAGCTAACTCCAGCACTGGCTAATATCTCCAGAAAATCAGTGACCATTTTTTTCCCTTAGCCTCCATATACCAGGGCCTTTTTCTCTGGGCCTCAGTTCTTCTAGATCTCGTAAGTTCTCTGATGCATTCAAGCAAAAAAAAAATTAAATATTTTGTTGAGCTTTTCTGGTAGTCTTCAGTGGCAGACATGATTCGAGTTACCTAATCTGCCACTACCAGAAACAGAAATTCCAGATTCTGTCTGTATCTTCAGCATTTCCATTGCTCACCATTGTTTCTTGCATCCACTGTTTCCTTCTGGGTCCAACTTCCTTCAGTCTCAAGTATTGTACATCCTCCTTCACACTCTTCCCACAAATTTCTGTGACTAATTTTATTAGTCTTTGCTTGAAAAAAACAAAAACAAAACCTCCCTTCTTTATTTCACCTTTATTCCTGAATGAGAATTAAACTGGGTATAAAACTTTCAGTTGACCGTTATTTTCACTTGGCTCCATGAAGATCCCGTTCCACTGTCTTCTGATCTCTCTCGCTATCATTAAGAAGTTTGCTGTCAACATCATGGATCTCCCTTTGTATGTCATCATCGTTTCTTTTTTGCTGATATTGAGATGTTTCTCTCTCTCTCCTTTTTACATATTCCAGTTTTACTACAATGGATCTAAAAAGAACTTTTATTTATTCTATTTGGGCTCACGGTGCTAATGAATATGAGTATTTATGTGCATTATCAATTCTAGAAAATTCTCAGCCATTCTATCATTGAATATTGCTTGTACACTATTCCTTGTATTTGGACTTTTCATTTTAACTCTGTTATCTCAACTTCTCTTTCATACTTTCCATCTGTTTCTCTGTGCTACACTCTGGGTGATTTATTTAGATCTACTCTGTTTATCACTTCTCTCTTCAGCTACCACTAGTGGCATATGTTTAATCTGGTTGCTGAGCTTTAAATTTTGATGATAACATTTTCCATTTGTTGAAGCTATGTTAGCTTCCCCTATGAGAACTTCTTGTGGCCTGGGCTGTTGGAGCACTCCCTGGGGTGTACAGGATTCATTTAAAAATTATTTTCTCAGCTTGTGGGCCCCAGACCATAGATGGAATGTGTGTATTTAAAAAAAAAAAAAAAAAAGACCCTAAGCATTAATCGAGGATCCAAGGTTTAGAATTGCCACGAGAGATTCCTCAGCTCCCAATTCAGAACCCAGGTAGACAGCTAATGTTCTTGTTATTTCTCTGTGCTGATAGGCAGACATTTTCTAGTCCATTCTTTTCATTGAGGACACAACCTCTTTGAAGGTTCCAGAGCCTCGTCCATACCTTCAGTGGGTCCAAGGACTCAGTTTCTGTCCCCAGTGGGTGCTAAAACCCAAACTCACACATCACTAAAACCGAAGCTTCAGCTCACATATTTATTATTCTAAGTTTTAGAGTTTTCTTTCCATTTCCGGAGATCTCCTTTTCTTTCCTGAGAGCTCAATGATGCATTTAAAATGATTTGTTGTATTTTCCCAGCATGTGAAGGGGTTTGGAGAAGGAAGGTTTGCAAGTTGCCTAATCTACCATATTGCCAGAAACAAAAATCCCATGGCATTATTTTTAAATCCTCTGTCAATGAAACAAATATGCAATATTAGTGCATTAGTCTGGGTTTTCCAGTGTAACAAAGATACATCTTTAGTCACCTGAAAATATATAGGCACACATGTAGATCTATGTATCTAGACAGATCTAGATGGAGATGTCTGTTTACCAATCTGCCTAGCTAGCTGTAGAGAAACTAATTATAAGGAACTGGCTAACCCAATTACGGTGGCCGACAGGTCCCAAGATCAGCAGATCTTTCTGTTCTATTTGGGTCTTCAACTGACTGGATGGAGCCCACGCACATCAGGCAGGGCAACTGCTTTCCTCAGTCTACTGATTGAAATGTTGACCTCACCCAGAAATATCCCCCACAGAGACACTCAGAACGATGTTTAACCCAATGTCTGGGCACCCTGAGGCCTAGTCAAACTGACATAAAATTAAGCATCACAATAAGTAAACTCTGATTTTATTTTTAATTAATCTTATTTTTTTCTAAGACCCAAATTAAGCTTGCCTTTGAGACTTAATAACTCACACCTGTCACTCTACCACTGAGCTGGCTCTGTGGTAAATAAGTTAGCTTTCTGCACATGGACCTAACATAAATATAATTCCACAGGTCCCTTTATGGATTTAATTTCTCCCTTTTCCAAAGGATGAGTTCAAGTCTCTGGAAGTACCGTGGAAGAAAAGCATCACCTGAAAACATATTCATGATCTGTTTCTGGGAAACTTCTGGCTTACACAGTCATCTGTCTTTGTATTACGAACATGGGGGTAACGATATCTGCTCGCGGCATGGAAATCCCCCATAATCCTGGCTGAGTGACATAACTTGGTACTAAATGAATCTACCCTCAAGTTTTTCAAAATATAGATTGTACTAACAAGTCTTCTACCATAACTCTGGGTTTCATTCATAATAAACTTCTACTGAGTTATACTTAGGTGAACATTACCCTCCTTTGCTCCTCTTCAGCATCAGCAAAGAGTTTGCGAATGTTAGCCTCTGACTCGCCCACGTATTTATTGAGAATCTCTGGCCCGTTGACCACTTTGGGCTCTCTCGCATTCAACATCTTGCCAATCTGCCGAGCCAAGAGAGTCTTACCACAACCTGGAGGCCCATATAACAGGATGCCTTTAACGTGTTTGCAACCTACAAAGGAAAAGAAAACGTCTTATATCAACTAACTAAAATCCAAGTAAGACATCTAAAGGAAAGTTTTCTTTCCTCTTTGTATGCACATTATGAAAAATACAGTGATTCCATTAACTTACATTAATATCCAGGTGTCACGAATAGAACAAGAATGAACAAGTGAAGCTCTTTTTAAAAAAAAAATTCAGAAACAATTCCCACGCCAGTACCAATATTTGAGAGCAAAAGCTGCTGATTAAAGGTCTTTGGAAAAGTATATTTGAACTACCATTTAGAAAAAATACTTTTAACTCTGTCTCTTTGAACTAAATACCTAATTAGGAACTATTACTTATTTTTCATTATTCCTTACTTCTAAAGTCAGAGGAGAAAAAGAGATCTGTCTTTTGGTAAATTTAACCTAAGACAAATCTATTATGATTCAGTAGGCTATGGAAACTCTATCTTAGTCATGAGAATCACAGGTCTACTCATCATACAAATATTTACTGAAAGACAGTTGATGGTACAGAGCAATCCACAGGATCCGGACGGGTACTGCAAACTGTGGATAAAGTTAAATGTTCTACTTCATGTGGCGAATGCCAAGTGAGGCACATGCTTCCGCAGAGCCACCCAGATGAAGTTCCAAAAGAAGCTTCTTTTCTAGACAAGACTGCTTCATGCCTTAAAGACATCATTAACAGCAAAATAGCGAGACTAATGATCTAGGTGTCCCAGGATTCCTTTAGCCAACTCTACACAAGCATTTCCTCAATTTCTTAAGATCAGGATGACCTGTGCTTTCTGTCTCTCACTCCGGGAATCCCCACCTTTCTCTTAGTGTCTCAGTGCAGATGCATCACTTTTTAAATGAGTTTTTTATTTCTCCTATACAAAAAAAAAACAACCAAAAAACACTGTGAAATGGATCTTCTAATGAATCTAATGAATGATTAGATTTCAGTGTTATACTCAAAACTACAGGTGAAAAAGAAAATCTCTGGATATGGAATATAAATTGTATGTTTTCATAAAAAACAATGTGTTCTCACTTGGGATGAAAGCCTTAAAAGTTATATCTTTAGGAAAAAATTATGACAATACATTTAAAAACTCACATAAAAGACATCATAAGAAACAACCAACTCTACTAGAAATTTTAGATTCTGAGGAGGAAGACTCTTTGGGTTGTCAGTAAGGTTTATTACTTCTGTCATTATGTCAAAAAGAACTCCCTTTTAAATCACTGAGAGCAATGAGTCCTGTGCTTGTGGTAAGCCTTGTAGAGACTAGGGGAACCTAGTGGAAACCCTTGAAGGCTTAACCCTTCACAGCAAATTGCTGTGCTAAGAACGATGGCACAGTAAAACGTGTTTGCCCTTGGCCCACCCTTCAAGCATGAGTGACAGGGAGATGAAGGGAAAAGCCCTGAGCTCCTCTACAGGTCCATCCCACCAAGCACTGCCAACATCCGAGTCACTGGGGTGTACTGATGAGGACCTTGGAACCTGCCTCCTAATCTTCCCCTCCAAGCCAGCAGCTACCATCATGATTTGAAACTATTCCTATATACAAACCACCTGCAGAGGCAAGTGATGAGGGTTAGAAAACAGGTAAAAGGAGAGGGGAGTCAGAAAGAAAAAAATGATTTGCCGAGTAGCTATAAAGTACCAGGCCTGAGCCTCCTCCCCAGTTTCTTAACTTTCTCCAAGTTTATCAACTTCTTCCTAACCACAGTTCCTTCTACACTAAGCCATACTTTCTTTCGAGGACTCTCAACTCATTGGCAATTTTATATTCCTGCAGTACCCATGTTATAAACCCTGAACACAATATGGCTTTATTGCACCTACACACCGGTCACAGAACACAGCCAGACATTATGACACCACGGTGAGGCCATCCTCACAGTTCCATGCAGCCCACATTCAGCTCCACTCTCACTGCTTCCTCAATACCACATGCTATCCTTATTTTTGTTAGTTATCTCCCATTCCCCTTAGTAATTATCTGGATGTTCACCTTTCTTCTCAAGTGCTGTTCTTAAAGATGACCTACATTCTGACTTCACTTTTTTTTTTTAAATACTATGGTCTTACTTTAGCTCCCTGATTCTGTATCTACAAATTTATCTGCAGACACATCCATTCTCCACATCAACATTGGTTCTCAAAGGACGAGTTTCCTTCCTCTTCTCCAAGGTTTAAATTGCAATCTTTTGTGTATAGACTTTCTTCTTTTCCATTAGACTGTGAACTATTCAAGGGCAGCTCCTGTCTCCTCAGTCCTGAATTGCAAATATGTAATATGATGCCTAGCATATAATACATACTCAATAAATGGCTAAATAAATAAATTGTGGATTCCTTTCCTAAAAAAACTCAAAGAAAAATAAGGAAGAGAAGACCATTTTTAAGATTTTATTTAAAGCTCTTAATTTATAGAATGGTGTTTACTTTCATTAGTTGAACTAATTTAAATATCTAAAAAACACACTTGCAATGAATGGGACTTTGCAAATTTACCTAAGCAAACCACATAACATATAAATACTAGACTCTTAACTCTGTTTTTATATGTGGAAAGTGTTCAATTAAATTGACTTAGGTCTTATAAAATAGCTAAACAATTCACAAAATATTATCCTTAAGTCTGAGAGAGAGAAAACGCATTTCCACGAACTTACTATATAATAAACAGATCACTCAAATGACAGAACCTATTCAATGTAACATCAGTAGAAATACCACAAAAGCTCTGGTGTGCATTAGAACTAAAATACTTTTAGGATCTCAAGAAAGCACATCAAAATATACACTGACATGTGAAGATTTTCAAAATCCACTTCCACAAAGGAAGTGGTTACTTGAATAAGCAGTGGAAATGAGACTTTGTTATTACTTATTATTATAGCCTATTCTGAGTTATTAAATAAGCATTGGTCTCTAATTTTAAGTGAGTCATAAAAACTTCTCATAAGTGATTCCATTCAACAAAAGTGTATTAAGCTCCTGTTTGGACTAAGCATGAAACTAGGTGTTAGGGATACAAACATGAAAAAGGCCATCCCTACCTGCAGGGCATTCCTGGTTTGTAGGAAAGACAGAAGTAAAAATAGGTTATCTACAATATGACATTATCAGAGATATGAATGAAAAGTTTCTGGAACCTAGCCAAGAGAGACTTGATTCTGTCAAGGTGATGGCAGAAAATTAGGGATGGACATAGGGGAAGAGGAAACGTTCAGCCTGGGCCTTGAAGGGTAGTAGGAGGTTCGTGGTTGGGCAGTGGAGAGGAGATGGAACCCTGCAGAGAGACTGGAATGATCAAATGCAGAGGTATGGATATAGGAAGCTGTGCTCTCAAAACAGCCAGCAGTAACTTGTTGTGGCTCAGCCTTGGAGGTGAGGACAGGGGAGTGTCTGGAGATGGGTCTGACAGGTTCCCAACTACGAAAGACCTTGACACCATGCCCAGGGGCTTTTAACACGTTTCGTAAAAATCCGGAGGTTTTTAATCAAGGAAGGTGCACAGTAAGATATGTGTTTAAAAACCGAGTCTGGATTTTTAAGTGGCGTGTCAAGATGGCAGCACAGACATCTGGCAGACATGCCTCTTCACACCACCACATCAAAATTACAACTAAAATATATAACAACTATCACTCAGAAACATCAGAAATCGAATTGAATGGAAGTCTGACGACTATGGAATTAAAGGAAACCACATCCACCCTGCTCCCACACAGCTGATCCTCCATGGAGGCTGGAGGTTGGTGGTAAGTGGTCACAGCCAGTCCTTGCAGCTGACTGGCCTGGGTAAATCCTTCCCACTGACCTGCCAACAGCAACCAAGGCTGTTGGCTGTTGGATCCAAGGCTCAACTACAGGAGGAGGTGGTACTGAGCACCTCAAATACCCAGCTTGGGTGGTAGGGGAGGATGTGCCATTGGACCCTACAGGCCACCTACTACATTAGGTCACACTACCAAGACACAGAGTCAAAGTATCTGTACCTAATACATAGAAACAAACACAGGGGGGCTGCCAAAATGAGGAGGTAAAGAAACATGGTCCAAATGAAAGAACAAACCAAAACTCCAGAAAAAGAGCTAAATGATACTGAGATAAGCAATCTATCAAATGCAGAGTTAAAAGACTGGCTAAAAGGATGTTTGAGGAACTTAGCAAGGACCTCAGCAGCATATAAAACATTCAGTCAGAAATGAAGGATTCACTAATTGAAATAAAGAACAATGCACAGGGAAACAGTATAGTGGATGAAACTGAGAATCAAATCAATGATCTGGAACATAAGGAACAAAAAAACAAGAAAAAAAATCCAAAAAATGAGGGTAGTATAAGCAACCTCTGGGAAAACCTCAAGAGGTCCAACATCTGCATCATAGGGGTACCAGAAGAAAAGAGCAAGAAATTGGAAATCTATTTGAAAAAAAAAAAAGAAAGAAAACCAAATTTCTAATTTTGTGAAGGAAATAGACACACAAGTCCAGGAAGCACAGAGTCCCCAACAAGATGAACCCAAAGAGGACCACACCAAGACACATAATAATTAAAATACTAACGGTTAAAGATAAAGAGATAATCTTACAAGCAGTAAGAGAGAAGCAGATTTACCTACAAAGGAGTTCCCATAAGACTGTCAGCTGAGTTCTCAAAAGAAACTTTGCAGGCAAGAAGGAACCGGCAAGAAATAATTCAAAGTGATGAAAAGCAAGGACCTACAACAAAGATTACTCTATCCAGCAAAGCTATCATTTAGAATGGAAGGGCAGATAAAGTGCTTCCCAGACAAGGTAAACCTAAAAGAATTTATTACCATCAAAACATTACTACATGAAATGCTAAAGGGACTTATTTAAGAAAAAGAAGATCAAAACCAATAACGTCAAAATGACAACAAACTTACAACTATCAACAACTCAATCTAAAAAATAAAAACCAAACCACCAGAACAGGAACAGAATCATACCTATGGGTTATCAGCTGAGAGGG